ACTGGTTGTTAGCTGCTTTGTGGGTGCTGTGAACTGAGCTCAGGTCCTCTGCAAGAGCAGCCAGTGCTTTTAACTGCTGAGCCATCTCTCCAGCTCCATAGGTTTAATTTTATATAAAATTGCCAAACTATTCTCCAGGGGGCCAAAAAGGAAAAAATGCTTTTTTTTTTCTTTTGCTTTTTTGAGACAGGGTCTCCCTGTAGCCCCAGCTGTCCTGGAACTCACTATGTAGACCAGGCTGGCCTTGAACTCACAAAGATCCACCTACTTCTGCCTCCCAAGTTCTGGGATTAAAGGTGTGCGCCACCATGCCTGGCTTGGAAAAATTGTTTTTTGAGACGGTTTCACTGTGTAGCTCAGCCTGCAACTTGCCATTTAGATCAGGCTACCTTCTATCTTACTGAGTTATTATTCTATTGATATTTTCAAGTTTCCTTAAAATTTTTTGTTACATTTATTTATTGTGTGTGTTGTGTATTCATGGATGCATGAGCATGTGCCAGTGTTCCTGCCACAGCACACGTGTGAAGGTCAGAAGGAGATGATTCTCTTTCCACCTTGTGGATCCTGGGGATCAAACTCAGGTTGTCAGGCTTGATGGCACACACCTTTATCTAACACTGAGCCATCTTGTTGAACCAAGTTTCCTTTTATTAGAAAAGATTTAAAAATATTTATTTGTGGGGGCTGGAGAGATGGCTCAGCGGTTAAGAGCACTAACTGCTCTTGCAGAGGACCCGGGTTCCATTCCCAGCACCCACAGGCGGCTACACACAGTCCTTAATTCCAATCCCAGGGGAATCTGAAGCCTTCTTCTGACCTCTGTGGCATTGCACGACACGGGTGCACTCACATACATGCAGGCAAGACACTCATACACATAAAATAAAAAAAAATTTGTGTGTGTCTGTGTGAGTGTATGCACACTATATGTGGAGGCGCGATGAGGGTGTAGGGTGTCTTCCTCCATCACTCCCCACCTGCTCCTCCACGGTATGGTCTCTTGAACCTGGGGCTCATAGGCTTCTTGGTTGGAAGCCAGCAAGCCACAATAATCCTTCTATCTCTGCCCATCTTGGTGCAGGTGTTACAGGTGTTTGTGGGGGAATGGCAGCTTGTTATGTAAGTGCTGGGATCTGCAGAACACCACTCTTAACTGTGGAGCCATCTCTCTAGCCCCGTTTCTTTTTATTATTGTTTATTACTATGATTTGATACTGAGGATTGAATCTAGGAAGGCCTCACATATGCTATGCAAGTGATATACTACTGAGCTATAGCCACAGCCCTTTTTATTTTTATTTTATTTTATTTTATTTATTTATTTTATTTTATTTGAGACAGGGTCTCACTGGCTGTCCTGGAACTAGTGGAACTAGACTGTAGACAAGATCAGTCTCAGACTCACAGAGATCCACTGTCTCTGACTCCCAAGTGCTTAGATTAAAGGCCTGTGCCGCCACACGTGGCTTAGTTTAAGTTCTGATGTATTGACCTATGGACCATTTTGAGCTAAATTCCAAATTCTTTTTTATTCTGGCATCCACTAACCAGTTGTTTCAGAGCCATTACTGAATACTATACTTCCACTGAATTATTTTTGTGTTTTTATAGAAAATCAGTTGATCAAAAAAAATTTATAGGGTGTGATCTTAAAACAGAGTCTCCCTGTAGCCACAGCTGGCCTGGCACTTGCTATGTCGACCAAGCTGGCCTCAACCTTACAGAGATTCGCTTGGACCTGGCTCATAATTAACACTGTTAGTGAACCCCTCGGGCTAATTCCAGGCTCTCATTTCTGCTGCCTCATCTGAATGTCCTATCTGCACCCTAGGAATCCATGGTGTTGATCAGCATAACTTCTCAGCAAGCCTGGAAATCAGTGTGATGCTTTGGCTTTGCCATGTAGGTCAGTCACTTTTCTCACGTGTGACAAAACAATTGACAAAAGCAACTTAAGGAAAGAGAAGCTTATATTGGCTCATGACTTATGGGTACAGTCCATCCTGGTGGCAGGAGCATGAGGCAGCTGGTCACTTTGCATCCACAGTGATGAATTCTCATGTTCAGCTCACTTTTAACTTTTACCCTTTTTTAGTCAGTCCAGGAGCCCAGCTCATGGGTTCCTGCTGCCTACATTCAGGATGGTTCTTTCCTCCTCAGTTGAACCTCTTTGGAACAGCTACATCTAGAGATATGTCTCCCAGGGGATTCTAAATCCTGTCAGTGTCAAATCAAGATCAACTATTAGGGTGGGGAGCTAGCTTAGTTGGTAAAGTGCCTGCCATGCAAACTTGAGTACCTGAGTGCCTGAGTTCAGTTGCCAGCACCTATGTAAAAAGTTGGGTGTGATGGCATGCCAGTAATCCCAGTGGGAAGGTGGAGATGGGAGGATCCCTGGGGCTTGCTGGTCAGCCTAGCACAACTGACAAGTACTAGGTCTCAGTGAGAGACCTTGTCTCAAAAAACATGGTGGATAGTTCCTGAGGAAAAACACTGAAGGTGACTGCTAGCTTCCACACACATAGGTACATACATGCACCCACACATATATCCCCATGTGCACTATCAGCTTTTAGTTTTTTTCTCTTCCCTCTTTACCCTCATTCATATTTTCTCTCTCTCCCTCTCTCTTCCCTTCTCTTTCCCTCTCTGTCTCCCTCTCTCCTCTGTCTCTCTTTATCCCATGCTTTTTTCAGACAGGGTCTCATGTAGCTGACCTTGAATTCATTGTGTAGTTAAGGATGACTTTGAGATCCTCCTGCCTCTACTTCTCATGTGCTGGGATTATGGTGTACATCACCACGACCAGAAAGAACCAGTTTTTCTAGAGAATTTTCCCTTGGTTTGGGCAGAGGCCTGGAAGCTGAGTGGGAAGGAGGTAAGAAGGGACATAGCTCAGTTGTCTGTAGCAAACACCTCCTCCCTTTGTGACTCTCCCTGACGCATCCTCTTGGGGAAATGAGCTTCCTGTTGGAAGAGGGTAGGGATGGCAGGAGGTGAGGAAGGCTGCTGGGCTCTCTAGGTGGGGACTGATAAAGTAGCAGTATGACGAATAGGGTTGATCAGGAGAAAGCACCAGGACACAGATAAAACTCCATTGGAATACAGTTTATTAGCAAAGGAACACATGGGACAGATTCCCTTCTGGGCAGGGAAAATGTCTGCCCCGGGTCATGAGCTGGGGTTTTTTTGAGGGGGGAGGCTTCTGCTTCTCGCAGAAGGTGGGAAGATGTATTTTTTAAAGTTGGGTGTGCGGGGGAAGTGGGAGAGCTGGACTGTTAAAACCTGCCCTCTTTGCAGATGAAAGGGGAAGCCTGCTGTGTTGGTCAAACAGTGGAGAAAAGTCTGCTTCTCTTGACTTCAAAGACCAGAGTGCTTATGACTCAGTTCCCTTTTTTCAGGGGCTTGTGAGGCCCTGTTGGTGAGGGGGCGGGGTTATCTGAACCTCAACAGGGACTAAGCCGGACACTGTAACTTGACAGGCAGTCAAGTCTCTGTTTTTGTTTTTTCTCCATTTTGTGTGTGTGTGTGTGTGTGTGTGTGTGTGTGTGTGTGTACGTGTGTGCATGCATGCATGCATGCATGTGGAGGTCTGAGGACCATGTCAGGAATCATCCTTGATCACCTTCCACCTTACTTACTGAGGCAGGACTTCTCAATCAAACCCAGAGCTCGAGATATGGCTAGTCTTGCTAGCCAGCTTGCTCTGGGCATTGCCTGTACAGGTGGCCCCATGCCCATCAAGCCTTTGCCTGGGCTCTGGGGATCCAAGCCCTGGTCCTCACTCTTGTATGTGGAGATCTTTGCTACCGAGTCTTATCCTCCATCTGCCCCTGCAGGGTCCTGATGCCTTCCATTCTAGAGTTCTTCTAAGGTCATGAAGCCAGCTTGTCTTTTGTCCCCACACCCTCCATGCCCCCTGCCTCTCCCCACTGCAAGTGCTTGGGTTCCACGTTTTGTGGTCTGACAGGTTTATTACCAGATGGCTGCCTGCTTGACTCCAGCTGTTGTCTTTCCCGCTGTTCTGCCTTGTGGCTTTGTGTTTTTCTTTTTCATCCAATCTCCTTTTAGTGGCGTTTTGGGGGCAGAGATAAACTTGCTATATTTAAGAAGAATTTTATTCATTTATTTATTCTTTTTTTTTGTGGTACTGGGGATGGAACCTCAAACCATCTCAGAGTGAATGACAGGCTGGCCAGGGTACACCTGCTTGCTCTTAGCAGTTCTCCCTACCCAGTGAGACTGGGGCCCTGGGGAATCCCCTCCCCAGAGCTCTCATTTTCTCTGGATATGTATGTATGTCTCAGGCTAAGTAGCTAGCTAATGACAACTATTACTCAGTGGTCAAACATTCTGGGATCAGGGATACCTGGCTTCAGCTGCCTTCAAGCTAAGGAAAACTCCAAGCCTCAGTTTCCTGTGAAATGCCCGGGTGGGAGGACCCAATAAGACCCTGCAGGTCCTGGGGTTAGAGATGTAGCTCAGTCGATAGAGTGCTTGACTAGCATGCACAAGGCCCTGGGTTCTATCCTCAGCACTGCTGGGTGTGGTGGTAAGTGACTACAATCCTAGCATTTGGGCTGAAGAGGCAGGAGGATCAGAAGTTCAAGTTCAGCTGCTTAGCAAGTCTGATCCAGCATCTGACTCAGCATAGGGGCTACAGATGACCCAGTCTCAAAAAATAAAAGCAGGGGCTGGAGATTCAGAACACTGACTGTTCTTGCAGAAGACCCAGTCTTGATTCCCAGCACCCACATAGCGGCTAACAACTGTCTATAACTCCAGTTCCAGGGAATCTAATGCCCTCTTTTGACCTCTGTGAGCATTGCATGACATGGGTGTACTTACATGCATGCAGGCAATATATTCATACACATAAAACAAAAATAATAAAATATATTTAAAAAAAAAACAGAATAAAAGCTGCAGGTCCTGCCCTGGGGGACACACAGGTGTCTGGAAGGCTCATAGTAATGACATGGCATCACCTCTCCCAGGGCAGGAGGCCAGTACCTGGAGGACACCAGCTCAGGACATGGATCAATGCAGGACTTTTTTCTTCTGTCTGTGCCTTCTGGCATCTCAGAGCACCACTGCAGGTACCAGGGCTCTCTAGGGGTGAGGGGCACAGAGAAGTTGGCTGATGACCGAGTCCCACTGCCCACAGAGGTGAAAACAGATCTCCGGCGCTTGATGATGTTGATGGAGAAGCCTCTGAGCCGGAGCTTGTCTTCCTCCATCGGGTGAGTCAGGTGTACCCCCTCAGCTGTGCCTGTCTTCCGCAGGCAGTGACCGGGTACCCGCTGAGTGCCTGGCAGTGCTCTGTGAGGTGCAGGACAGGCCTTCACTGCCCTCCTGGAGCTGTCTAGAATGGGAACCCTTGACAACAGGGGTGTCACGAACCAAGTGGGTCCCTGAATTTCCTAGGCGGGGGCTCTTAGATACACCATAGAGGAGGGAAGTTATGTGAAGGGAGCAGAGGTATGGAGGGTGGAAGCAGGATGAGGGTAGGAGACCCCCACCCCCAGCCTGTCTCCAGCTCCTCTCCCTTACCTAGCCCCAGGTACATCCGGCGCCTGGAGCAGATGCTGCTTAACTCCACCTTCAATGGCCACAACTTGACCTTGCAGACGAACTTCATCCAATCTCTGGTCTTCAAGTTGGGTTGCAACTTCCCCGGCTTCTCTCTGACCAGTGCCACCCTGGAGCCTGTCCCCCAGGTCAGAGGCAAGCAGGGGAGCGATGTAGGGGCTTAAAGTCGGAACCTTCCTCAGCCTGCTGCCCCAGCCCCCTGACTAGCTGGGAGTCATCTCTGCTTTACTGTGTGAAGAACAGAAAGGGGATGCTTTGTGGCCCCTCACGATCAGGGTCTTCCTCCTGATTTTGCCTGGAGGTGGGTGGAAGGCAGGTCCCTGGGGCTGGTGGCAGGGACACTTGCACCCTTTTAGGACCTTGGTGTGAGGGGCTGGATGTCTGGCCAGTGTGGGGCACCAGGTGCTGGGTGTCTCTATTCTCAGGGGTGCAGGTGGGTGGGGATGGACAGCCAGGGTCTCGGAGGAGGTGCCACCCGAGGGCTCTGCAGGTGGAGGCTCAGGGTGAGGCTGGGAGTGTTTCATGGAGAGAGGGAGCACAAAGATGTTGGGGCTGGATCTTCAGCCCTGGATGCCAGATTCAGCCGGTCCACTGCCGTCCACAGGCTTGGGCCCCACATGGCATGCAGTTTCCCGCCGAGCTGACCCGGGGTGCCTGTGAGACCTCCCAGCCTACAGAGCTTCGGCTCATCTGCATCTACTTCTTCACCGCAAACCTTTTCCAGGTCAGCAGAGTGTGGCCAAGGAGAATGGCTGCCAGGCCTTCCCTGGGGGCACTGTGGGCATCCATGTCACTTCCTGGCTTCTGAGTGGGGACCAGCACCAAGTGGGTCAGCTCACTGTACAATCCGAGCCAACCATTGCCTCTCTGAACCTCAGTTTTCCTACCAGTTTTAGGATGGGACAAAAGCAATTTAAGGAAGGGTTTATTCTAGGTCACAGTTTGAGGACACAGTTCATCATGGCCAGGGAGTCGTGGTGGCAGAAGCTCCCCGGCATGCCCAGGGTCCAGCCTAATTAGATAATCCCTCACAGGCATACCTAGAGGCTAACCTAATCTAGATAATCCCTCACAGGCCTGCCAGAGTCTTGTCTCCTAGTTGATTGGTGATCTGGTCAAGTCAAGATCACTTACAGTCATCTTTGAAGGGAGGTAGGATTGCAGTCTGCAAATGAGACCCAAGAATCTAATGTGTCCTTGTCTGTCCTGAGGTGGGAGTCAGACAGAAGGCACATGGAGAGGAAGGGCTGCAATGAGAGCCGGGTCTCATTCAGCGTATCACTTGATCTCTACTTAGCCCTCCTTCCACTGTCTTTCCAGGATGGCAGCAACTCTTCCCTGCTCAATAACTATGTCCTGGGAGCCCAGCTGGATCACAGGCTGGTACACAACCTCCAGGAGCCTGTCAACATTAGCTTCTGGCACAACCAAAGCCTGGTACTGTTGGGCCTGCTTCCACCCCCATCACACCGAGGCTTTCCTATTCAGCACTGGTTTGATCAAACTTGTGGTACCATCTGGGAAACAATTTAAAATCCATCATTCTTTGCAAATTCCTGCAAACAAGAAAGAAGTTTTCACTCGTGGCATTCATCATTATTCTTTTCATTTGCTAGCAAGAGAAAACCAGCTCAAGCTAGCTTAAGCACTAACGGTAACTTACTGGTTCCATCAATGGAATGCCCAGGTTTGCTCCACTTTCAGGTATGGCTGGATCCAGGTGTGGATCTAATACTGTCAGGGTTCAGTGCCTCTTCATTCTTGGCAATGGTTTCCTGCTGTGGCTTTCCTTTCTGTGGTAAGATGGACGCTGAAATACCAGGTCTCTTTCTCCTCCCGGAAGGCTCTGCCCTACCAGTGTAAATCAAGGCCTTAAGATCTTAAAGGTTTGGCTGCCTCACATGTTTGTCTGTCAGCCAGGCTGTGTCCAAGAGGATGGGCTGCCTGGATTTGCCAGGCTGGGTCATGTGGTTTAGGGTAGTGCCGGTGCTGATGCTGGAACAGAGAAGGCCACACGGTGGGCCAAAGACCTGATACTGTTGGGTCCCCAGCATCCCTGCATCCCCCTGATGCCCAGATGGCACCATCTGCTCCATCTGCTTCCAGCCTTGGCAGGATGGCCTGCTGTCCTCTCAACTTCACACCAGCCTTTCCTTCCCCTCTGAGTTTCGCAGTTGCTCCTCCCTCTGGAATGAATGCCCTGTTCCACTTTCATTCAGTCCACATGTCCTCTAAAGCCTGTCTTCCCTCTTTCCTTCCTCTGTGGTTTCACATTGCATGCCTATGTCACACCCTATGTCCCATTGTGGGGCTCAGCTGCAAGTGGGTTTCCAACACTGGGTCTGGGTCTGGGAGGAGGTGGCAGGGGACAATGGGTTATAGAGGACGTGCCATGCAAAGGGCCAGCACTGGCCACTAGCATGCTGAATTGCCTTTCATGTCTCCACAAACTTTATGACTTGCATATGCATGGTCCATTTTTTCAGATGAATAAACTGAGGCCCAGAGAAGCTTGGTCACTTGCCCAGGACACTGAGAACTGTGGTGGAAATGGGGTTGGCATCTGGGATTATCACAGCCCAACCAGCACCCAGAAAGTGTTGACAAGGGTGCACTTGAGTCTCTCTTGGTCCCCAGGACCTGAGACACTGACATGTGACCCCATTCTGTATCTCCGGACTGATTCTTCACATCTCCTCTCAGGAGGGCTACACAGTGACCTGTGTCTTCTGGAAGGAGGGAGCCAGCAAGGGCCGCTGGGGGGCCTGGAGCCCTGAGGGCTGTCACACAGAGCAGCCCTCGTCCTCACAGGTGCTCTGCCACTGCAACCACCTCACCTACTTTGCTGTCCTCATGGTATGTGGGCATCCTCCCTGAGTGGGAGGGTCAGAGCTACAGGGGCCGTGATGTGATGTGTGGTACAGGAGCAAGGCTGCAGACAGCATAAAGGGTAGAGAAACCAACTCTAGTGGGCTTAAGTCATGCATACACAGATAAATTTTGGGGACTTGCATTCCTTAAACAGGCTGGGTTAGGCTTCAGGCATGGCTTGACCCAGGAGCTAAGTCACACTAAGACAGGACTCTCTGTCCCTCAATTATGCTTGCCCCATGATGGCTTGGCCCTCAGCTATGTCCCAGCAACTTCAGACTCATGTTCTACTGACTTTCAGACCAGTGGGATGAGCACCTCTGTTACCTGGCCTCACTTTTGGGATTGAATGAGAATCTAGTCCCTTGAACCAATCATTATAAGCAAGAAGAGGAAGGTCTCTGACAGCCCAGGCCTAGTGTATCTGTCCACACAGATGGAGAAGTAGTGCCCCCACCTCCACCTGTGTGCATGAAGTGGGGAGGAGCGTTTTAATAGGGGAAGGCCAATAGGAGTTTTGGGTGGCCTCATTCAAGCCAGGACTGGGCTGGGCTTTGGAGGAAGGGACTTAGAGCTGAGGTCTGGGGGTGCCCTCTGGCAGATGCCAGGGACAGATGAATATTTCCATGCCTTGGGCCTCTGGCCTGCTTTGCCCCTGTAGCAACTGTCCCAAGACCCAGTGCCTCCCGAACTTCAGGTGCCTCTTAAGTACATCTCCATTGTGGGTTGCAGTGTCTCCATTATGGCCTCACTGCTCACGATTCTGCTGCATGTCCACTCCAGGTAATCCCCTGCTTCAGTGTCCAGCCTACCCACCCTACCACTGCTTCCTGTCCTTCCTCTTTTCCATTGGCTTCCCTGGGCAGGTGGGGTTATGTGGAGGGTGGGGCCACAGGGCATAAGCCAGCCTAGAAGCGTGGCAGCTGTTGGGTCTTTCTCTATCAGCCTCTGCATCACTGTGGGTCCCTCCCCATCAGCCTCGGTATCACTGTGGGTCTCTCTCCATCAGCCTCAGCATCACTGTGGATTTGTGAGCCCAGGGTTTAGCACTGTCTGGGTTATATCCCACTCATAGGAAGCAGAGTGACTCCATCACACGCATCCACATGAATCTGCACGCCTCTGTGTTGCTCCTGAACAGCACCTTTCTCCTGAGTTCTGCAATGGCCATGCCCACCATACCCAGATCAGCTTGTATGGCACTGGCTGCCACCCTACACTACGCACTGCTTAGTTGCTTCACCTGGATGGCCATCGAAGGCTTCAACCTCTACCTTCTTCTGGGGCGTGTCTACAATGTTTATATTCGCCGATACTTGCTCAAGCTTTGTGTGCTGGGCTGGGGTAAGGAGCACTTGCCTCCAGAGTCTCCACTATGCAGGGTGTTGTCCCTATGTCCTTTCTTCCCCTCCTTCATCAGAAGGTCACTTCATGCCCATGAGCTAGCATGCCTGTCAACACTCCGTCACTACCTTCTACGTTACTAAGTTGTCCACCATGTCCAGCTCTACCATGCCTCTATCAATAGTTCCATCACCACTGCTTTCCTTTCCACAACCCATCTCCATCATCCTCATCATCTTCCTCATCATTGCTGCACCCCACCTACATCCTATCCACTTCTTCACCACATCAGCACCATCACAGATGCCTCCATCACCATTTTAATTCCCTCTTTATTGTTTCTATTTTCTCACAACTCCCCAGTCCCATCTCTTATTAGCTCCTGCCACCACCTCGCAGGTGACCACTGCTGCTGCCCCCATTCTGCCTTGGAACCTCACTAACTGCATCTTGGAAGAGCCTTCTCCAAGAGTGCCAGGTCCCCAGTCGCAGGTGACCACTGCTGCTGCCCCCATTCTGCCTTGGAACCTCACTAACTGTCCAAGAGTGCCAGGTCCCCAGCTCTGAAGCTGGAGCCAATGCGGGCTGCTTCTCAGTGTAGTCTGTGTTCCCTGCTCTGTCAGCTGCCCCGGAGACCAGGACCAGCTCCTCTCAGGGCCTCCTGAACTTTGTCTTACCCCTCAGGGTTCCCAGGCCTCCTGGTGTTGCTTCTCCTGGTGGTCAGGAGCTCAGTGTATGGACCTTATGTGACCTCCTTCTCCGAGAACCAGGAAAACAGCACAAGTGCTCAGAACATGTCCATGTGAGTTCCTAGTTACAAGCCTGAGTTCTCTATCATGAGGTACCCGCTAAGGGACAAAGGAGGGGAGGGGGCTGTGGTTTAGGATGGGGAGATACCAGGGGCTCTGCCCACTCCTTCCATATCCCCAAAGACCTCTTCAGGGGTAGGTCTGTGCTCTGTGCTGACCAACTAGGAAGCCATGGGGTGGTCTCCAGTTTCTGCTCAGCCTTCTGGACTGGGCAGTAGGGCCTTTGGCCTCCTACCAACACTTGGCCGTATAGTCACATGGTCACACATTTGTGTGGTCTGGCCCAATGTAGCCCCTAGAGCTGCCTAGCTAGCTGGCACCTGACTGCTCTGCCTTCAGGCCACCTTGCTTAGCTAGCTGGCTCTGGCTTAGCTCCTTCTGCCTTGTACTGGACTGAAGACATTACCAGGACCCTGTGCTGTTGGGGTGCGGTCTGGGAGAGGGGAACACTCTGGGGGACGGGCTCAGCCTGTGCAGGGCTTGGGGGAGGCAGCAGGCAGAGGTGGGGACAGACTCTGCTGTGGCCTCCTGCACCCAAGGATATTAAGCTTATTATTATGAAACACTTCCATAGTTGAGTAGAATATAATATAAGAGACCCCTGTGGAGGGCCAGTGAGATGGCTCAGTGTGTAAAAGCCCGTGCTGCACAAGCTGAATGACCTGCATTTGATCCCTGGAACCCATGGTGGAAGGAGACGACTAACTTTCAAAAACTGTCCTTTAAGCCAGGTGTGGTGGTGGACTTCTTTAATCCCAACACTGGGGAGGCAGAGGCAGGTGGTTCTCTGTGAGACTGAAGCCAGCCTGTCTACATAGTTAGTTTGAGGGGTTATAGGAAGGCCCTGTCTTCCCCCCAAAAAATTTACAGAAGTTATTCTTTGACCTGCACACAGATGTGTGCTGTCCTGCCCATACCTGCACTCACATACATCATACACAATAATACTAATTACTTAAAATTTAAAAATTTTATGTGCATGAGTGTTTTGCATGTATGTATGTATGTATGTATGTATGTATGTATGTATGTGATGCCTGTGGAGGCCAGAAGAGGGTGTCGGATCCCCTGGAACTGGAGTTAGAGACAGTTGTTAGATGCTCTGTAGGTGCTGGAAACTCAACCCCAGTCATCTGCAAGAACAGTCTGTGCTTTCAACCACTGAGCCATCTCTCCAGTGCCCCACCTTTTTAAAAGAGATCCTAGTGGAGCCATCCAGGGAGCTGGCAGTCCAGCCACCGTGGCCCGCCCTGGTGATGGCAACTTAGAATGCCTGAGGCCTCTTGGGGCAGGCCTGGTGAATGAATCTGTTTAGTGCTCACAGGGAGACTCAGCTCCACTGCTATTGTATGTCATGGTAGGGCAACTGAGGCACACACCACTCAAGAACTTGTCCAGGAACCATGCTGTTAGTGCAGAGCCAGGAGAGCAGTCCTCCAGCATTGCTCACCCCCAATCCTAGTTGTCACTGAGGGCTTGGAGGGGAGCCGGGGTGGGGGGGATGGCATTAGTGTTATTGGTATCTCTGAGGTGTGACAGCCCTCTTCAGAGATGTCTCTCATCATATCATATTCATATGTGATGTGAACAGAAGAGCTTAAGGGACAGGTCCACAGGACAGGAGCACAGCAGGGTACAAATGGGGACCTCTGTCATGGAACGAGTGTCCCTGCCTTCCCATCACCTTCCTCTGCTCCTCAGGAGACTATTATGCTGCTTCTGTGACTTTTATCTTCCACATTAAAAAAAACTCTATCATCTATTTATCTACCTGCCGTTGATTTATCAAGCACCCATCTTTCTATCTTTTGTTCCATTTATCATCTGTCTTAGTTATTTTTCTGTTGCTGTGATAAAATGTTCTGATGAAAGCAACTTAAATAGAGCAAGGGGTTTATTTTGATTCACAGTTCCAGGGTACAGTCCATCATAGTGGGGAAGTCAAGGTGGCAGGAGCTAGAGGTAGGTCACATTGTGTTTGCAGTCAGAAGCAGCAGCAGTGAATGCTTGCTGTTGCTCAGCAACCTTTTTGCAGTTCTTTTAACTGTGTCCTCATGGATAACTGGCCAGGCCCTTTCCACCCTACTCCACTATTATTATCGCCTTATTTCTACCTTTGTGCCACCGAACACCCCTCCTCAGAAGCCTCCCCACCTAGACAGGCTAGCATGTCTCTCCTGAAGCAGCATGTGAACTGTCACCCCATGGTCTGGGGGGGCACTCTGAATGGGACAAGCTGGGGAGCAAGCAGTGGCAGGGAGACCCCCGAGGGCACTGAGTGTACTCAGCCTGGTGTACCCGGGGCTTGTCTTGGGCACAGGAAGGAGGGGAAGGGTTTCAGCTGGGTCAAGCTAGAATGAAGCACTTGCAGAAAGGCAGGGAGGCACTTCACAAAGGGGTGGGAGGTGGCAGATGATCCTATTGTGGTGGCCTGATAGGGAGCTGGACTAGAATAGAACAGAGTTCTGTTGTGTGTTAGGGCATGTCTACTCACCCCAGATAAGGAAACTGATGACAAATCAAAGGAAGAATACCATCAAAGTCCAACTTGGTAAACCAATGAGTTTTATTGATGTTGCTTACCAGAGTATGGTGAGGGATTACTTATAGGAGTAGAAATGACTCACAAACAGCTGCGTCATCAAAGCCCATCCAGTACAGGTGACAACTCAGCTCAGGAAAGCAGGAAACTTGGAGCCCACTGCACAACCTGTAGGCCGCTCAACAGGTTGGAGTGGGTTTTTTTTTTTTTTTTTTTTGGAGACAGGGTCCCAGCTGGCTGAACTCTCCCTGTAGACCAGGCTGGCTTTGAACTCACAGAGTGCTGCCTGCCTCTGCCTCACGAGTGCTGGGATTAAAGGCATGTGCCATTATACCTGGCAAGTGTTTTTTTAATTATTATTTTTATTTTATTTTATGATAGACAGTTGTTAGCTGCCATGTGGGTGCTGGGATTTGAACCTGTGTCTTCTGCAAGAACAGCCAGTGTTCTTAACCGCTGAGCCATCTCTCCAGTGGCCCCCCCGCCCCCGCAAGTGTTTTCTAAGTAGCTCAGTTGATCTGAGCCTCTCGCAAGCAGTTTGGCTGGTCTCTGACTTTCCAAATAGCCCAGTTGGTCTGGAGTATCAGTGGACTTCCTGAAGCTATTAAGTTGTTTGCTTCCTGAGCTTAAGGAACTTCCCTGCAGGGTGCAATGTTCTTACTTCTCCTTAGAGAATCCTGTTGTTTACCTCCCTTTTAACATCTCATGTCTCAAAGAGATTCCCTTCAATATGTAATGTCTTATCTCAGAGGAAATTGCTATATGATAACCTTCCTACCTCCTGCAGATGCTGGGTGTGCAGCCCGGTGGTACACCATGTTCTGGTCATGGGCTATGGTGGCCTCACATCGCTGTTCAACCTGGTGGTGCTGGCCTGGGCGCTGCGGATCTTGCTGAGGCTGTGGGCTCGAGACAAGGTGCTGAATCCCTGGGCCTGCTGGAACACTGTCACGGTGCTGGGTCTCACCATACTGCTGGGCACCACCTGGGCTTTGGCCTTCTTCTCCTTTGGTGTCTTCCTGGTGCCCCAGCTCTTCCTCTTCACCATCTTCAACTCATTCTACGGTAGGGGCTGAGGGGGCCCACAGGGTGGCAGATGTTGGGAGGATACTAGTCACTAGGGGGCTCTAGGTTAAGGGGTAAGTGGGCTGAGTACACAGTTCCACTTAAGCTGCTGTGGGGCCACATCTGTCAGAGGAGGGCCTTATCTGCCTCCAACATGAATGAAGCTGGCCTCTGAGTTTATTCCTCTATCCCCCAATAGTGGGGGAGGGGGGTCCTGGGTTCCGGTTCTACCCCACCGACCAGCCTTGTCTTGCAGGTTTCTTCCTTTTCCTGTGGTTCTGCTTCCAGAGGTGTCGCTCAAAGGCTGAGGCTGAGGCAGAGATGGAGGCAGCCAGCTCCTCCCAGACTATGCACTAACCTGCTACCTGGCCTGCAGCCCCAGACTCTCTGACTGCTGTTAGCCCAAGACCTAGGCCCTCCTGGGGGGGCCTTTTCCACCTCTGTGAATTACCCTGGTACAGAAGGCAGGGCATGGCTCTGTGTTCCAAACCCTCTGTAACCTGGAGGCAGCCCTGATGGACACCCTGTGGACAGGGCACAGGCCTGGGAGTCAGAATGCCATGTTCTACTTTCTTCCTGGTGAGGAATGGACTGCACCTGGCCTGCCTTGCTCAACACTTACAGAGACCCACCCAGCGTCAGCTCTCACCAACCTGTGGCCTATGCCTGGGGCCAGTTTTCCTTAACCAACCCCAAATGATGGTGATTCCAACTCTGAGCCCTCTTCCCAAAGATTGGGAAATTCAGTCCTCCCCTATCAGTGCTCCCCAAATCCCCACAGGCCTCGTAAACCAGCAGCCAAAGCCAGGGCCTCTGTTTTTTTTTCCCTGAAGCTGAGGGAGCTGGACCTGAAGGACTCAGGTCTTAGACCATTGTATAGGATTTAATTCTCCTGCTGGACGTGAGGGTGTGTGTTCACAGTCCACAAACTTTCTGCACACAAGTGGAGAGAATCCACGTTGCCCGGCCTGTCAGACCAAGTGGGCGACAGTGTTCATTAAGCCAGTGCTTTCCCCTGGTTGGACACCAGGCGGTGCTGTTGGCCTGTGCGCCAAGACAAGTCACCTGTCTGAGAACCTGTGCACTAGCTGGAGTGGCTGGGACCTCCAGGACTATCCCTGTGGAGCAACTGGCAGGAAGCATGAGCCATTCACATATTTATTGTCTCTCTCCCTGTACAGCTGACCAAGGTCACTCTTGAGGGCTTGTGCCCAGGCATTAGACCAGCTGGCCAGCACAGACTCAGGACCTGTGCCAGCCATCAGTGAGGGAATTGGAGCTGGATCCCTGTCCTCCCAGGGGTTACTTGGCCTGCCTGGGGGTTTCTGGATTTCTATAGCTCCTCACTGGCTGGTACAGGCTCTGAGTCTAGACACCAACTCTGCCACTTGCTAGCTGTGTGTCTGTGGACAAGTCATTCAACCTTTCTGTGCCTTATTTTCTACAACAGGGACAATAGTAGTAGCTTTTGAAGATTCAGTAAAAGACTTCATTTAAGTCTCAGCACAGTGAGTCTTTACTAAATGATTACTGCTATCATTGGATTTTCTTGTAGTTTTTTTTTTTTTGTGTGTATATTTATTCTGTAAGTGTACATATGTACAGAGGTCAGAAGACACTGGGAGTTTTGCTCCATCACTCTCTGCTTATTCTCTTGGGACTGAACCTGAGCTAGGCTGGTGGCCAATAACTCCAGACCTCTGGTACCCCCCCTAGTCCATCAAACCTCTTACCCGCACCCCACCCCCAGTGCTGGGGTTACTAGTGCATGACCATGCCTGGCTTTTTACATGGGTGCTGGGATTGAACTCAGGTCCTCATGCTTGTGTAAAAGTGCTTTTACCCACTAAGCTTGTCTCCCTAGCTCTTGTTATTATTAACAGTATCAGTTGAGTCTGAGGCAAGCTGTCCAGACCTCAGGCTCAAGGCCATTCCACCCCACAGCTCCTTAGGTATATCCCTCCATTCCTGTTTTGTGGCCTCCCCCACTTTTATCAGGGGGGTTCCTCCTTCCTCCAGTGGTTCGTTTAACACATTGTCCATGAAACTTCTCTGTTGCCCCACAGAGAAGGCCTCGTTCCCATTCTGGCTCCAGGTAGGGCATCTCCTGCCTACCTCCCTCAGGTTGATGAGAGTCTCCATCAGAGCCCCCAGGTTATTCCAGCATGGAGATCCTTGGTCTGGGTTTTCATGGTAACGAGAGTGCTGAGGGATCATGGGAATTTGGACAGCAGAGTCATGGGAGATGACTCAAGTTCACTTGTCTGCAGTCCTGTGAAGCAGGGCCTTGCTCCAGCACAGAGTCTGGCCTCTCAGAACCAGCAAACCCAAAGCCACCTGAAAAAGGATGTGGCCATAGTCACACGTAATGGGCTTGCATGTTCCGGGAAACAGCCCTGAGCCTGTGGCTCTGAACCCTATTGGGGTATGGGTTCTGGGGGTATCACTTCCTGTAAATACCCCAATGGGTATGGGAACAGGAACCTGCATAGGGAGGAGTGGGCTTCCAGGCCAGCTCTATCTGTGTCCTAGGACTCCTGTAGGTTCAGGCTAGCCCAGAGGGGTTCTGGGGCTTCCAGACTGGCAAAAGCGTCAGAGATGGAGTCTGGGGATGCTGCTGACTGTGGGGGGCAGGGCTCTTGGTGAAGGGCTTGACAGTGGGTGTAGGGTCAGGAGTCCCCCATGTTGTTTGGGTGCTGTTATTTTATCAAGTGTGTATGATGTGATGGGGGTTGTTGAAAAGAGTATTCCAGATAATGCAAAAGAAGCCTGCATTTGGAGGCATACTGACACCAAAAAGTTGCTAGTTTATCTGAAATTCAAATTCAGTAGCATGTCCCATATATCTATTTTTATTTTTGCTAAATTCAACCCTAATTAAAAAATATTGGCTCAGGAGTTCGCAGGCTCTTCATTTTTCAAATCAACTCAATGGATGCCTACTGAGCAGTCCTCTGCCACTAGTGCATACAGTGTGTTTTTTCTGTTGCCAGCTGTGGCCACCAGCAGAAACTCCAAGAGGTCTGCCCTACTCCACCATCACCACTGGCTCAGAACCATCCTCCACCTGGACAGGGCCTCCTCACGGGCCTCTCTGCCTCCCCAGAAGCTAGAAGGAATCCCCTAATTTGCAGCCTGATCAAGCCCTCCACTGCTGAAACCATTCGGTACCCTCCTCTTCTGCACTGCCAAACTCCCAGTGGAGCTTGGGAGCCCAGGGTCTGGCCTGTGACCCCCTCCCCAGCCCAGTTCCTTTTTCCCGTTTCTTGCCGCACGTAACGACTTTCACTTCCCTGTATTTTGTCTTTCTCATCTTTGGGCTGTTCTTTTTCGGAAATGTTCTCCCTGATGCCTTTCACTTGTGGAATGATGGCAACATACCCTTAGCATCTGGGCTTTGCATATCCCCTGCAGCCTCCAGCCTGGACAGAACAGTCCTGGCCCTCCAATCTGGGGGAACTTTCTCTCCACTCCCTTCCCCCATGGCGGAAGTTATTTCTCCGCTTACAACTGTTCCTGTCTGGCTTTGCTGCCAGATGGAGAACATTTTGGAGACAGGTGTTGTGTCTCGTTTGCTCATTCATCCACCACATAATTGCTAAGCACTTGTATTTCGGGCATTGCACTAGATACTAAGGATATATAAATGAACAACTTGTCGAAGTCTAGTGTGTGTGGGTGTCCTACAAGAATCAGTTTAACAAATGGAAGTAAAATATGACAGTTGGTGACATGTACTGTGAAGAAAAATGAAGGAAGGCAAGGGGTGGGGGGTGCTGCAACCCTGGTTTCAGAAGAGGGGTGCTGGAAAATAAATCCATGGGTGTTGGGTTTGGAGTGTAGGAAAAGGTCAGTGAGCTGACCTGGCCATTCCAGGGGTGGAGGGCTAGCCCCAAGCCTAGAGTCTTAAAGCAGTGCTTCCGTGTGGTGATGGTGAGCTTTGGACAGCTGGGGGTAGGGAGAATGGGCCGGTGGGTCTCCTCTGAGATTAAGTTCCTGAGGGGCATGGTTGACTGTGTTGGGGAGCCCCCTGCAAGACAGCAGTAGTCTCCATGGGGGAGGACAAATTCCCTAGATTAGATCAGGAGGACTTGCTCTGTGAGTACGATCAAGCAAGAGGGTTCAGTATCAGTCTTTTCAAATCACAAGTGTGTGTCACCATGAGGGACAGCAGAAAGGAAAGAACCAAGAAATTTAGACCCCCCAGCAACAGAAAGAATACCAAGTAACCATACAGGGGATGCATAAAGAAATAAAGTTGCAATAATAGGATGTATGGATAAGTAGAGAGGGGGAGAGAGAGAGAGAGAGAGAGAGAGAGAGAGAGAGAGAGAGAGACTTTTTTTTGGTCTTTTTGAGACAGGGTCTCCCTGTAGCCCCAGCTGACCTGGAACTCACTATGTAGACCAGGCTGGACTTGAACTCACAGAGATCCACCTGCTTCTGCCTCTCAAGTCCTGGAATTAAAGGCATGTGCAACCATGCCTGGTGAGAATGGAACTTCTAGAAATGACAAACAATTAAAAAACCCGACAAACAATCCACCCCTGAATAGAAAATGAATGAGTAATGAGATGAACCAGGAGTTGTTTGTAAGGAAGGGGGTGCAGAGACATCACAGGAAGAACAACGGAGGGGTACAGAGAGCAGAAGATGTTTTAGTCCCAGAAAAAGAAAATAAACGAAGATGAGGCAATAAAGAGAAAACTGCTACGCGTTTTCTAGAAGTGATGACAATCAAACTTGCAGAACCAGGAAGCAAAATTCATCTCAAGTGTAATATATAAATATGAACCATGCTTTGCGCATCTTACTGAAACTTCAGGACGCCAAAGGCAGAGAAGTGATGAGAGCATCACTGAGAATGGACAGATGGAGGAAAGTGAGCTGGCTGCTCCATGGCTATGACAGGCTGCAGTGAGGTCCCCAAAGAAAGACACATTAGCTAGAATTGTGTCTAGCAAGAGACCCTTTCAAGAATCAAGACAAAAAGGAAAATATGTTCCTTTTAACATTTAAATGTAACTACAAACTGAGAACAACCTAAAGAGACTTCAAAAATAAAAAGGTACTTCAAGATGGTAAATGATTCCAGAGGGTCGCCTGAGATGCAGAAAGGAATGGTGGGTGCAGCAAAGCTTTCCACAGTTGTCTGTGTGAAATAGTGATTTTGTTTGTGGTGCTAAAGACAGAGATGAAATATTGATGTAAGTCAAGAAGGAGATGGGGCTATAGTGATTGGAAGCCCTTACGTTTGGGGTCACAGAGGTTGTCAAGACGTGGAGAGCCGACCATAGGGGACCTCACCTTTAGTCCCAGAGCTTGGGAGGCAGAGGCAGGTGCATCTGTTTGAGTTTGAGGCCAGTCAGGACTATATATAGCGACTCTCTCTCTCTCTCTGTCTCTCTTGCTCTCTCTCTCTCTCTCTCTCTCTCTCTCTCACACACACACACACACACACACACAAACACATACACACATGGCATTGTTTGACATTAGTGTTGTGGTTTGGAAGGATTTAAGTGTGTTAGAACCCCCCTCCCCCCAGTGTAATGCTGCTGACAGGGAGGGCTCATGGAAACTATCTATCTGATCATGGAGGCATGGTCCTGAAAGTGATTCATATGGCTAACATGGGACCCAGTTGAGTCCCAAGACAGTGGGTTGTTTGGTTGTTTTTTGAGACAGGGTCTTCAATAAAACAGGCTGTCCTCAAACTCATTATGTAGTCTATACTGTCCTCAATTTAACTGTGTAGCCCAGGCTGTCCTTAAACTCACTCTATAGGCCAGGCTGGTGTTGAATTTTTGATCCTCTCGTCTTCTCCTCCTGAGTACTAGGGTTGCAGGGATCACAGCTAGATTGTCTTACCATGTGGTCTCTTCTGCATAAGCTCCTGTCATTATCTTGAGGTCCTCATCAGAGTCAAATCAATGAAACCACCCTGAAGTTTCAACCCTCCCCCCCGCAAACTATGAGTTAACTGAACCTCTTTTCTTTGTAAAATACTCAGACTCGTGTATTTTGTGATAACAATGGAAAACAGACTAACTAGATATTATTATTTAAGTGGACATGGCAAAACTTGAAAGAGCAACAATTAAGAAAATAAAACTGAAGTGTATTCATTTCATTCTATCAGAGGGGAAAAAGTGTTATAGGAAAAGAGGGAGAAAAAGAAACAGAGTATTAGAGATCGAGTGTAGGACAGGAAACACCCACATGCAATACTTAAAGTGAATGCAAATGGACTCAGCTTATAAGAGAAAAGGTAAGAGATGGCCAAGAGTGAATGCAGAAACAAGACAGGTGTGCGGTATAAGATGCTCAGCTCCAGCGACAGCAGGTGGGAACAGTGCCAGGAGCAGGCAAAATACAACGTACCAGGGAGAAAACAGCCCGAAAGGAGTCTTGGTAGGCATTTTGATATAGAACAAAACAGGTTTTAGTTTAGTTTTTATTTTAGGCTTTTTGAAGTTCTGAGGATCAAACCTGGGTCCCCACATGTGCTAGGCAAGCTCTGGGCTGA